CAGTCGTGAATTCGACTTTTCTAATAGACACTTTTGGCGCCATTAATTCTCTTTTTTATTTTTTAGAAAGCTAGTAAGAATTATAAACTCTAGCTTTATCAAAAAGAAAATTAGTTCAAACTTATATATAATTTAAGTAAAAAGAGAATTGGTAACCTTTAAAAAATATTCAACATATGAATAAATGAATTTGTTTATTTTGTTGTAAATTAAATTTTGACAAGAATTTATTATTGGGAAATTTCCAATAACATATATGATTTTATTTGGCTGGTACCAACACAAGATTAAAATCTCAATCGTACATAATATTAAATAGTTTAGCCTCGGGAATTTTAGTTACCACAATCTTCGGAAAAGATAGAACCTTCCATCTGATGCACCAACAGCAGTCTCCATATAATTGTAGCTCCACTAGCCCCGACACCAACCTTGATCTTGTGGCAAATCGACACAACTCCGCCTTGCAAAAACTGTGTTGTCTAGTTTTTACTTTCCAATGTGAAACATGGAACAGATTGAATTGAAGGAAAGAAGCAGCTTGTATTCGCTTCCTTTGAAGGAAAGAAGCTGCTTGTATTCGCTTCCTACACAAAAAATAAATTCTGTTTTTCACGAGGCTCTTGTATGAGATATAAATTAAACTTTTAAACAATGTGTAATTTCAGCAACACAAAAGGAATTACTAAACCATATTGAATAATTTAAATTGGCTTTCAAAAAATAAACTTACAACTAACAAAAAGTAGAAAATGTAGAAATATAATTTCGATCATTGAGTATACATAAAGTTTTCTTAATTTTTAAATTCATTTGGGTAGACTGCCAAATTTAAACTAAAACTAAAACTCGTATACATCAATAAAGAAATTACGTTTGTTATTCAGTTTCGAAAACCGTTCGATGACTCGGTAGAAGACGACAAAATTATCAAAGACATGACCTGGTCAACACGGAGCTTGCTGCCATTTATTGATACTGTCCATTGTCCTCCAAGATAATTTGCATTGGTATTGTTCTACTAGTTGATCTAAATATAATGGTACTACGAAACCTTTACATTGCCAGATATTTCGTCTGGAAAGTGGCGCCTTTGTTAAATTTTAAGGAAATTAATATTTGCGAATGAAAACAATTTATAATATATTTTACTGATGTGTAAGTACAATTAAAGGATAAACCCATACCTCTCTGGAGTAATTTTTTGAAAATCTTTTGAAAAAAATCTAAAAAGATGTCTTGGTAACGAAAAGAAATAAAAATGTTAAAAAGTGCTGGAAGGGAACAATATAATAGGCGTTTGTCTACAGGAGCATTTATTGTTCTTACAATAAAAATAAAAAATAAATACTTTAACACGTTGACTGCCAACTACGAGATAACTCGTAGATTGCATTCTTTTCTAGGACGCCAACTACGAGTTATCTCGTCCTGTCTTTACTTGCCATTTTTGTGCAGCTACGATTAAACTAAAAATATATCCGTGCTAATATCGATAGATGGCTTCTGGGAAAAGAACAAAAAGTCAATGCTGGCTTGCATGAACAGAAAATTTATTAAAAAACGAACAAAAAATTTAATTATAAAAATTAGTTCAAATTCAAGAAATAATATATTTTATTTTTTGTGGAACTTCTTAAAACAATCTTCTCTTTACAGGCTGTACAGAAATACGTTTCCCGGCGTTTTTTTTTGCTTGGGTACATAAACGACATTAACTCGTAGTTGGCTTCCGTGAAGAGATTTTTGTTACAGAAGCCAACTACGAGATAATTCGTAAGACCTTTTTTTTAAAAATACATCTTTTATGCATTTTGATAATAACTATGCACTAGAATTAGAGTTTTTAATAATATATTGTGATTAAATCAAATTGTCATTTTTGGCCAGTTGTCTCAAAATTGCCGTGGCAGTCAACGTGTTAAAAGCTTTTTCGTCTAGATGGTGACACCAACAAAATGTATATCTTTTTCTACTGTTTACAAGTTATTTTTAATATCTTGATAATAAATCACCAAACAATAAGAAACTAACCCTAATCCATCTCAATCTAATAAATTCTTACTAAATTTGGCTTTATTGGGTCTTATGTGTGTATACTTTGTTATTTTTTACATACAGCAATTCCGCTCAATTATTTTAAATTAATTTTATAATTTATTTATTAAAATATATATCCGAAATTAAAAGGTATACAATGACATACAAATTGTACAAATTGTTTTTGTTTACCTTCTATATTGCATGGAATTTTTTTTTAATAAATACCTCTTTGAGTTAACAATAAATAATTCCAGCATGTTAAAAACTCCTTAATCTGTTAAAGCAATGTATATTTTTTCGAAGTAAATCATTTTTCTTGCTTTCGCGCATGGCTTTGATATGTCGCACTCTTGATGCGCGCTGCAAAAGATTTTCTAAAAAGTTAAACAATGTCTGTGGCACAATGAAACGAAAACGAGTCACTGCTTAAAAATTTGGAGAAATTTATAAATAAAAGGAAATCTTTAGAAATCTCATAAAATCTTTTATTTTTTGCTAAAGTCACCCAATATGGCATGGATAATTAATCCAGAGCAAAATATGATTTGGAAATTTATTTGCAAGAAAATTTTTTAAATGTGGACTCTTTATTGATTCCGAATTTGATTATATTGCTGCCAGTCCGGATGGAATTAAAAAAAAAAAAAACTATGATAGAATTAAAAATGTCCATATGCAGCTATAGTGCTTACTATAGGAGAAGAAATATGCAGTATAATAAATTTTTTTTGGAAAAAGGACAATACCATTAAGGATAACTACAATTGGTATTTTCAAATTCAGGACTAGCTGCACATAATACAAATGGATTATTCCTTTTTGTGCGTTTAGACTACTCGAGGAATAAAAATGGAGTAAATTCCTCATAATGACAGCTTTTGGGAAGAAAAGATGCAAAATAAAATTCCAAATTGTTATATGCAATATGCCTTGTCAGAACTTGTTGACAGCAGAGCTAATAATAGAGGCATGGAAGTACGAGATAGAATACCAAATAAATGGTGACAAATTTTGTTTAATTTTTATTAACATGACGCAAGAAATCTTAAATTATTTTAAATATATTTATTAATTTAAGAGTTACATTTTATTTATTTCTAAAGTATGGTAGTAAGCGATCTATTTAAGATATGATTGATGTCTTTTTTTAAATTTTAGATTTTACCAGTGGCAGTGGCAATTTTAATATAATTATGTTACCAAATATTTTGAAAGGCTACACCAACTAGTGGACCACGTTTTTAAGTTCCCAAATAATAATAAAATTATTCTGATTCGGATTAGAAGTTTTACTATAGAGGGTTTTGTGCCAAAGCTGAGCCATGTATAGATATTGTTAAACGCAGATGAATAACTATGATATCAATATGCACATATGAATCTATGTAACTGTAATAATTTCATACAGTCAAAAATTTTAGTTAACTTATTTAATTTTAAATATAAATTGAATTTCAGTTTAACTTGGAAATTTTCGAAAAGTTCACTATATTGTTTAGTTGTTGCACCTTTACTGCGCTTAAGTAACGTTCAGATTAAAATATGAACTAACGCTTTCATTCAAAAAAAAAAGTATTATAGTCAATAAAAGGAATTTCGAAATCTGATATCTTTAAACCCTTATTTAAAACCTTTAAATATTAATATTATCATCATACAAGAGTTATCTTTACAAACTGTACCGAACATAAATTTGTTGACATAAACATTATTTTCATAATACAAATAAATATATCTCTGTTAAAGAATGGTCATATTTTATTTAATATATTAATTTAAACATTTTGTTTTTTGTCTGGATGATATTAAATACTAACTTTTTATACCCCACATTGAGAGATACAAAAATATTGCTTATCTTTTTTCTTTTGATTCATTTGTAGTTTTTGCCCAAATTATGTTTAACTGTGCAACTTACAACTCGGCTGCTGTAACAATACGGGTTATGAATTTGTTCCAGAAGCTGTATCTAGGTGGTTCATTATATCAGATTATTCCAACAAAAAAAATAATTGTAGTTAAAATATAAATAATATGCTGAAACATTATTTCTTATGATAGTTACATATTATAAAACCAAAGGTTCCTTTTCATTTAACCAACTCACACATTGCTACCCCAAGTTTGAATATTATAATCCTCTTGAATATAAAAAACAATAGGTTTAAAAAATATTTTTTAAAAACCAAGTTAATTTAAAAATGTAAAATATCACGGGACCGTTTATGGTCCGTTTACATTGGCCTCCTATATTTATTACTTTGGCTTTTTGTATCGAGGACATTTGTGGTACAGGAGCGAATGTGTTGCTAGACTATCTGGATGCTTTTCAACTCTCCGTCAATCAATTTGTAAAATACATATTATTTTGTGCTATTGTGGAATATTTTTCGATTCCTTTGTATCACCTTAGAGTTTAGAATATGTATCCTTCGTATCTACATGCAATTGTTAAAATTATGAATGAATACTGATCCACGCTAAAGTTGTAAGTTTTATACCTACTAAACTAGCGTTGCTCTTCAGGTCTTTCAGTTTGTAATGTAAATTTGCCTCTTAATAGCCAATCATACGTTGATAACACATCATCAATTATATAGAGAATAAATTTATTAAAAAATCAATCATATGAAATATTAATTTGATAATGTAATTCGCAACTCAATAAGATGCCGATTATTGTGCTGATTTCTAAGCGACCCAACGGAGAAATAAATAAATTCGAAACAAAATAATTTCTTATTTGCGTGACATATTTTACTACAAAAATGCTTGCGTCAAATATCTAAAAGTATCTTTAAAAAATGTTTCTAAAGTAGGCCACATAAAAAATCATTTTTTAAAATGATAGTTTGGTTTTAAGCAAGAAACAAAGGCAGTCAAATATAATTGCTGGCTTACTTTTTAAATGAATGAATAGATATAAACTAATTAACATAATTTATCTTTTGTTACAGCCACCTGAAAATGAACTTCAAAAAGGGGAGAGAGTAATGTCTGAGCACCAACTTCGAGTACAGCGTTCTCTTCAAAAACTAACGATTCCTGATTGGTACAAACAATCTCCGGTGCCTCGTGAAGGCTTCCTTCTCAAGAAGCAATCGCCCAGGGAAACAAGATGGAACGGTACCGGTAGCAAAACAACCTCTCTAAGCAGCCTAGGTTCAAATACGTTCTCCCCAATAATCAGCCCAACGCCCCTCAGCCAACCATTCGTACGGTGGTCGACTTCGAAGCTAAACTCTACAGCTTCGTCGCCTTGCGCTTCGACGAGAAGTAGCTTTAACACTAGGCAACCTAATGGTAGCATTTCTCCTTCTTCGGTGCGATCCAGCTTTAGCTATAGACAACCTTACCTCGGTTGGAGATCGCAAGAACGACTTAGTAGGCCTAGGACTCCAGCCGAGCGGCTAGCCAGTTCGTTGTTAGGTGCTCAAGCTTCGACACAACAGCCCCAAGAAAGCCCCGAGATCCAAACGTCTATCAAAGAAGTGACCTCAGCGATAGTGCATTATGTAAGTGGTTTGCGACCGGAAGATGCTAGAGATAAGAGCTACGATTCTCAAGAAACTGCTAGTCAAAGATCTAATTCGGTTAGTCCTAGAGGAAGCCAGAAGCTATGTTGGTTGGAGAGCTCTTTCGTTGGTACTAGGCCCCTAGATTCACCTCAGACTCCGGTGACCCTATCAGAAAGCCAAAGTCATACGCCGGTGTCTTCGACGAAACTTAGGCTAGATTTACAGACGCATAATGGTAAGTCAGTGACTGCAACTTCGTAGGATAATAAGGCTCGATGTGGATTGAGGGATTTATTTTATGTTTCTAATGTAAAAATTATGTCAAAGAGAAAATATATAGTATTTAGATATTTGATGCAAAAGATGTGCAATAAAGAATAATTTAGCTAATTATTTCCTTTTCGACTTTTTGTTAATTGTTGTTTATATTTAGTTCTTTTTTTGAATTGAATTGAAAAACTGAGATCGTTCTTTTATTAATTCAGAATGATTTATTCTGATTTTTAAAACACCGAAACTAAAAATCAATTTAATAATAAATAAATAATTCCAATTTATCAATAGTTAGTGTGTATCAGCCGTGTCATTTTTAATGTCCCCTACAATCACTTGCTAGTCACCCGATTTGAAAGTACAAAAATCCTAAATAACTTTAACCCTAAAAATAGAATACGTGTACTTATACCGCTATTAAAATATTTACTTTGACATTAGTTTTACATTTTTAAAATACTCTGAGATTATGTTTTTAAAAATAAGATTTTTTTATATACATAAGTGCTGACTGTTTCGTTCAAAAATTGCTATACTGAATGTTGAAATTTGTCTCGCTATCGTTTGGTTCTATTTTTCCTTTAAGTAGATATAAGTAGCAGGTTTTTTAAAAAAATATGAAAACTTGATGACTTGTATTAATTTTATTGTAACCTAAACTACTACGTTTCGTGGAAAAAAAAACGTAAAGAATATAAGTATATATAGTAGTATTATCAATTCCCACTGCTACTAATTTTTACTTGGAGTATCATTTTTTTTGTTATATTTTTATAGGTACCTACACCTTGTCTCGATTATCTAAATTTTCAATTGACATACCAATCAAAATATGTCCCTATGAACCACTTTGGATGGTTCAATGCTGTCATTTTTGGTGCTACATTGTTTGTGTTTCTTTGTATTTATTTTGTATTTTTATGTTAGACAACCAAGCTTAGCGGGTTTATTTTTTGTATTGTAACATTTAACACGGTTTGGAAATCCATATTTATTTAATTATTTTTGTTGTCATAACCATGGATTTGGAATGTATTTAGAATTTTCATGAAAAAAGTTTTTGAGATAAGGAACTCAATGAATAGTATCATTACTTCCTTATCTGTAGAAAATCTTTGTTCGAGTAGGTATTTTTTGAGATTGCGATGATAGTCCGAATAATGAGAATAAGATCAATGGATAACTAAATCAAACCTTAGTTCTTCAAAGTTTTGAGTGACAATACCAATAAACGAGTGCCATGCTTGTTATTATGGTAATGAATTTTTCTTCTAAAAGACAAATCTACATTGTTATTTTTCAATTTGATATGCCTAATTATTTTATGTCTTCATAGTTTGTCGAGAATATAAGTTAACAACATTCTAGATCAACATAGAAATACATTTTCCTGAAATTCTTAATTAAAATATTGAATTTCAAAATTATGTAATTAATTTTGTTATGCCAGACTATACTTTCTTTTAAAATGCAATGTAATTGAAAACGTCGAATCACAAGTTTTTTTGTTTCACAATGTAATGTATTCATATTTTGATTTCAAATTAATAATAAATTCAATTATTTTTTTATTTTTCGAAGTGCCGTTTTTGACATAAATATTCTCTAAAAATAAATGATATATAAGTATACACAATATGTGCTAAACAGCAGAGTCTGGAACGCAATTAAATAAAAATACTGTAATTTTTTTTGTCAATACTTGAATTAACTCTGTTAATGTAAGAAAGTTATCAAGCTGTAATGTAATACGACTTTGTAAGATTTTATAATAATGTCATAGATGTTTTTAATATGGACAGCGGTCCGGCTTAGCAGGTTCACTTCTGTGTACCAATATATGCAGTTAGGCAGGATCGTGCGCAGTTTATACTTGAATGAGTGACCATTTTAAGGAAATTCGGCGTATCTATAAAGCCCAAACAACTGCTCGCGTAGTTTCATACCATATTGGCAGGCGTTATATCAGTGAGTACACCAGAGGATTCGACAAAATTTCTGGTATTTGGGGTAGCGTGCGTGTTTTAGTGTTTCGGAAGCAATTTTGAAAAAAGATACACCTTTGGAATCACATTGGTGTTTCTCTGTCCGTCCGTCTGTTAAAGGCGTTTTACGCAGACTATTTGAGGAAAATTTAAAATTTTCCGACATCATCCGATAGAGAAATTTATTTTAAACTTTTCATTAATTTCTAAAAAAATTAAAAACGCGCTTTTTAATTTTTTTCTCCAACTTCTTTGTTTTATCTCTTTTTTTTAGCAAAGTTTATCTTTGAAAGACAACAGGAAAATTTCAGTGCCAGATTATCAAAAAAAAAAATATATATATACGTAAATTTTTAGTTTTTTTCGAAAAATTAGTCGGAAATGTCGGAAAATTCTGAAAAAATATTTTTTTCACCAAACGAAAGGGAATTTCCCGAAACGGACAAATCTGATGACTAAAAAAATGGTGGAAAACCACTTTCCCGAAAGAACATTTTAAATATAACCAAACCATCTGAAAGAGAAAATGACAATCTTTTGTATCAGTCAGATGGACTGGCAGACGGGCAGACAGACAACACGTACTTGGGTTTTTTTTATATTAAAACAACTACTGCACAAAATCACTTATTGTATTGCTTTTTAAACGTCAAAATAGACAATTCCGTGAACATCAATAAATAGTGCGGAAATATTCTACACGGTCATTCCACATTGTTTAGTATATTGAATAAATGACGAATAGAAAAACAAAATCTTATCGCATTTAAGCTAATTCAATTAATTGTCAAAACTAAATTGTCCGAAATACTAGTGAAATTCATTTGACAATACGCTGAGTGCATTAATTTATGTGATTATCCATATAACCTATAGCAAAAGTTGTATTCAATAGATAATATTACGAATTAATAAATTCTGACAGCTCAATAATTAACAGTTACAGTACAAAAGCAACGACAAAACATGACAAACTTGTCTACTAAATCATTGTACTAAGCATGATTATCAGTTATTGATTATCGATGTATGATTATCGAATATTAATCAACTAAAAGCAAATTTTATTACATTGTGAGTGATATTATCGAACACATTTTACTAAGTTTGAGCTTGAAGTAATAAATAAACTACTTATTACTAAATAATGAGTATTGACAAAAAATATCTACGTTAAATGATAACTTGTATAATCAAGTTACCTGCTTTCAAATCTTGATATTTAATTTTCTTCCAATTCAAATGTGACCAAGAGTAAAATGAGTAAAATAAAATAGAAATAGGTACGTCTCAAAGACACATAATATGAGCGACCGTTTCCTTTCGCTAATACCGCATCAAGCATTGAATTGTATCCAAACCCAAACAGTAGAGATAGAAAATTATTTTCTCAACACTACATATTCTCTCGCAAACTACATCCATGCAGGATACAGGTGAGTGAATTTAATGCCTTTGGAGATTCCATTAGAGATATGAATCGAGAATGTCTATTTCTTGCTGATGAGTTCTAATAAGGACGAAACCGGTCCAAGAATGACATCTATTTAATAAGCTAAATCAAAGGTAGAGTACTGAAAATTCTTTTCCATCTCTGCTGTTTTCTCTTTGATATAATTCATATTATGTGACACTGGCTTTGACATTTATTTCTATTTTATTTTATCCTTCAAGATTATTATTGAAAATGACTGACCGGAAAATGGATAACATTATGAAAAACTATCAAGTCCATGATTTAAAATTAAAATTTAAAAAAAATACGTATTGTACTTGTAAAAAAATGCAATTTGTGTTTTAGCCATTATGGTCGTAGAAAATGTATAGTGTACTACTCATACATAAACCCTATTAAACATTTTCACTATTCTGTAGGCTCATTTTTTTTATAAAATAACCACACACTGACAAATATTGTATAATCAATCGACGTCAAATTATCAACAACTGTCAGAAACTACTCTAGCTAGGTAATTTAAAAGAGATCAAAGATATTTTTTCGTTGAAAATAGCTATTTGTGTATTTCGCTCAAAATGCACACAAGATTTTTTCTATGATCACATTACTTTAAGAAATTTGTCTTAAGTTAATGTGTTGCCAATATCTAAGTTAATAGAGAGATACTGTAAATTTCTATAAAGCCAGCCACTAATAGTGACATCGTAAATAGAGTCAAATAAATTCCATGCTAAAATCAGACTTATTTCAAACCTGAACTTTTGACATTAGAATCCTTGTCCTTATACTTATTTCTAACCATATTTTAATAACTTTAAATTATAGTACATCTTTTTTGTTGTCTATAATAGTACATAATACTGAAGGGGTACTAGAAATTATAATTTTAGAAGGTTTAGATGACGATTATATTAAATATTTAATATTAAACATTTCGAACGGATACGAATATCGGCGAGCGCACCCGAAAGCTATAAAGTCGCCACTACCTCCTGCTCTTAAACATCCACAATTAAGGATAGGCACAATCTTTAGTCAGTTTTAGAACATAAACGATCTGCGCATGCTTAGATGTCAAAATAAGAGCTGCACTAATAGTGACGGACCTTAAGTGACCTTGCAATAACTCTCTAACATTGAAAAACGGAGTTGATATTCAGTGATCGTAAAAAAAATCAAGTTTTCGTGAAAAATAAAATCGTGTATGAATCAAAGTCGTTACTGGATTACATTACCTTCGGTGGACATTTATAACGCAAGCCGAGGCCATCATTAACATCGACGTTATAATCCCTACAACGCCGTTGGTGCATAAATAATAACGATTTTGTTTTTGTAAGTTGAAGTAAAACAAAATTTATGTTATAATATTTATGTATTAAAGGCGTAAAACAGACGTTTATGGACCGCATCGTGTAAGTATAGATGATTTCAACGGAAGACATCTTGAAGTTGCAAGGTCATTGGAAGATCTTTGCGCCATCTATAAGTTTACATAACAACTAATAAAATAAAAAAG